GCTGCTCCTCACTGCATCACTCCCAAATTTAACTGCTGCTTTGCCATCCTTTGGCTATTGCAGCACAGCAGAGATACCAGTGACACCCGAGGGGATTGCAAGGACCAAACTGAAGTCATCCAACGTTTTACCTTCAGCACATGGCAGAGCTTCAGGAGGCCACCTGCACGTGGCAGATGCTGCAAGCTCCTGTGCCACTTGCAAGGCACCAAACTCTGTGATCTCCTGGCTGATGAACAGGAAGAGTTTCTGGGCTCTGTTTGGCTTCTGCTAAGGACATCTTTTTGATCCATTTTCCAGCCTCCGGGGCTGCTCCTGTCCCAGGAGACTGATAAAGGAGTTCATGAGCACAGAATAAAGTAAAGACCAGAATATTCATGTGTTCCAAACTCCTGGGAACTTGCAAGAGAAGAGAAAAATCTGAAGTATTTTCTCAGTAGGATTTCCTTACTAAGCAGCATTTTTCTCTTGYGTGTAGACAACTGGTTCAAAGCAGCACCGACACCTCATGCCAGGCCCTGCGCTCCTTCCGCTCTGCCCTGGTGTAAACCATGAGCAGATGGTGCAGTGCAGTGGAAAATCAGATCTCCSAGGAAATACAGAGCCAAGAATAAAACACCCTCAAGCAGAAAGCTACATGGTTTATTTCAGGATAAAACGAAAAACCGAGATCCTTGGGCAAAAATTAGAATACTCCTTCAGAGTGGAGTATTCCACTTCTCTGAACTGCCTCGTTCCTTCCTGATTGAGGAAACATCCATCCCTTCACAGCTGAAGGCTCATCTCATTTGTTGTCTTTCAGTTCATTGATCTGCTTTCTCCAGGCTCCCACGTGACTGTTCTTTGCTGAACTAACAAGCGTGGTTATCACTGAATTTTCTTTCCTTTCGACTTTCTTGCACACTGATGACAGACCTTTCAGAATTTCCTCCCACTTCAGCTGCAGCATGACCTGAATTGCATCCATCCTTGTTTAAACCCACTGGGGCATAAACACCCAGCCACGAGAGGTAAGGATATAATGTCAGAACTTTCAGTCTGGCTTTATATTTGTGCATAAAGAGATAAAATACCCCTGAAAATCAGACTGTTTCTTCCATTWAGTGTAATTTGGTGCATACAGTCTCTGGACTTGTAGCCTTTATAAAGTTCTGACATGCTGTCATGGTTTTACCTACTATGCCCCATCCTCAAAATAAAAACTTTTAACTCTGCTCCAGCCAAATTCCAGCTCCTGCCATTCCTCTGAGTGCCAGGAGTAAGCACAGGGAAGCTCCTCGTGCAGCCACTGTGCTGTYTTGTGCTGAAGAACTATTGGATTTCATCTCGGCTCGCTGCGTTTTCGTGACCTAGATCCTGCTCGTACGAGCTGAAAAAATAATTTAGCAAATCTTGGTATCTAAGATTAAAATGGGATGATGTTTATTTATCTGAAGGAAAACAACAGGAGTGAAATACTGGCATTTCTCAGKGTAGAGTTGAAATAGCTGCTCTGACCCGATCCCTGATGTCTGTTTGCTTTTATCTGCAGCTGCATCCATGCCTGTGGTGAGTCCCCCATGGGTTTGAGATTCCATCTGAAATCCGGGGAGTTCTCCCTGATCCTTCTGAAGAAYGTGCCTGACAAAGAACCAGATCCATTCCACAGGAGGGCACTGAAATCAGCCTTAGCTGGATGTGAGACATCACCATCCTCATCATCATTACTTATGACAACTCTGTGCAGCAGAATGGCTGGGAAAAATCCACGACTTTGTCATTACTAAAGCAACATAGAAGATTCTGCTGCTCCAAAGACTTGCTGCTCATTGGGATCTTGCCATGCAGCTTTTTTTCCAGAGGGAAAGTAAATGTGCAGGGTGCTCAGAGTCAATTTTGGGTGGTGAATACGCAGTCACTGTCTCTGCCGGGATCAATGGCCCTTTCACTGTCCTGGGCTTTACTGTACGAGAACAAACASAGTTTCCATGGCAGTGTAAACACAAATACGTCCCACACTCCAAAGAGTGACTCACACGTGCTGCACAGAACAGAGAAACTTCCCTGTCTTAATCTGAAAACATCTGGGAGAGGAGGATGAGATTATCTCACTTTCAAAATATTCTATAAATATTATGTAAACCAGTTTTGCRCCGAATAATTCCATGTCTTGGCAGCTCTGAAAGACAAATCCTTTGAAGGCAAAGGAATAAGACAAGGCTGGTGCCTGTCTGCAGCAGCAATGCCCAAATCTATAATGAATATATTCTTAACACAGGCACAAATGACATGGAAGCCAATTCAAATTATCCATGAGCAGTGTACCTCAGTATTTCAGAGAGTCACAACAAGAATTTAAGTGTTGTAAACGAAAAGTATATTTATAGCAAAAGGTGGAGATGGATAAATCTCTGGGAATTATTGAGGTACTTACAGGTWCTAAGTGCTGGTATTGCAGGTGTCASTCTGAAATAGKCCMAAACAGTGAGAACCTGACCTTGAGWATCAGCAGCATCACTCACAAGTGTCTCAGAACATCCTTTATCTCAGGCTGATACATTCACATACAGATTTGGGGAAAATGAGACCAGCATGGAATTAAAATCAAATACTTGATGTGCACTTTRTAATGGGGACAAAAAAAGCACTTTCTTGGAGGAATAAAACAWGCTCTCAGTGTGTATGGGAGGAAGAATCTTCCCTAGCAGGGCTTTTCTACATCCTAAAACCTCAAGGATTTTTATGACCCCAAGCTAGGGAGTTTATATCCCTTCTGAAGAACCTGTWATTACTGCAGCTCTGAAGGATGTCTCATCTGCTTCTTTTACTAACCTAAATCCTTTCCCAGGACCTACTCTGCCTGCAGAGTATTCAGATTAAATGTCAAGATTTCCAAAGGCTGTGCTKCCTTTGGATCTTCCTGCAAGCAAAAGCCAAGCAATGTCAGGGCAAATCTGCAGATTCCTCTTGGCGGGGCTGACATGTGCACGTCGACAATTCAGAACTCGAGAGGCACTGAGGTAAAGCAAGGCCTGAAGGGTGAAGATTCCTATTTATACCAAGAGTCATGGCAGAGCACTCCCTTACAGAGAGCTCTCCAAAGTGAGGAGAAGAGCAGGGCAGATTTACTACGGGAATAAGGATTTAAACAAAACCTTTAATGGGACCGACTGAKGGATCTGCAGGAGCAGAAATGTGACACAAACCCCTCAGTCAGAGCCAAAACCAGCRGGAGAGGGACAACAGATCTGCCAGGAGTGGTGTGAAAGGTGTCTCACACACAGTGAGGTGGTTTGGGGTCCGTCTGAATGGAACATCTGAAGGAAAATTAAATAAATGAAAAGTGCAGCGTCTCTTTGAATGACAGTAAAGTGTCTGAACGTCTCATAAATGCACCTCAGAGAATAATGCCTGAATCCAGATCACCTTGGTTGTATTGAACCTGCATGAGACCTCAGGGGAGAAAAGGAACAAGTGAGAAAARCAGAGCGGGGAGCAGATCCTGCAGTGGCTCTTGGGGGTTGTTTTGTCGCCTCCTCGCTGCCCTTCCCCCCTGGGAACAGTCCCTCCTCACTGCTCTTCCTTGTCTGTTCAAATCAGATCAATTTAAAAGGGTTATGAAAGGCTGTATTTAATCAAATGTTTGTTATGCCCAGGTGTCTTTGTCTGTCTCCTTTCCCAGATTTATCCAGAGACAATTATCTCACACTGGAGAGACTCTTTCCCCTTGAGGACCAATGAGAGGATCCTAATAAAATAAAAATAATAATTGGAACAGCAGAATGCCTGTAAATCCTGGGGCACAGTCCCAACCACTGGTCAGTGCTCCTTTGGTGGAGAGGATCTCTCCAAACTGGAAATGCTCTTTGTCCTGCAGGATAAAGTGCTCGGTACGCAAATATTCATAGGAAAATATCATMATAATAAAACAAAACTGAATAGAATCTGACAGACTTTTCTCCCCCATCAGGAATACAGACATGAGGAATTTCAAAGGCGTGACCAAGCCTGTGATGCACCAAAGSCATTAAAATTCATTTGGGCTGCCCAAAGAATAATGACACAGTGTATGTGCTTGTACAGTAGAAGCCACTGTGGAGATTTTCCAAATCCCCTTGCAATGAATGGAAGCTGCACGTCCAGAGCCTCTGGAGTGCTACAATCAAAGTTGATATTCATAAAAACCACCCACGATTTCATGTTTAAGTGGTCTGCAGAGGGTAGTAAGTAATGCATATACAGATTAATACATGTAGTGTTTGCTCAGTGAATACTGTATGTTGATTTTTTGTATCAAGTGATTTTTTGTAGGCTCATAAATGGGGTTTGGGCACAGCCGCAGGTCTGGGGGGCTCAGGGATCGYTCGGACACCGCTCAGAGCGCAGGGTGCGGGTTTGGGGTGTCTGTAGGGTCCAGGAGCTGCACTCAGCGATGCTTTGGGGATATTCCGTGACTCCCCCGTGCTGAACGGGACCATTCATTCCCCTGGGCACGGTCTGTCCCCAACCCTGCCCTCAGGCCGAGCCGCGGCCATGCTCCGCCCGCCCGCAGCGCCGCCTCTTGGGGTGTCTGTGCAGGGTCAGGAGCCGCACTCAGCGATGCTTTGGGGATATTCCGTGACTCCCCCGTGCCGAATGGGACCATTCTCTCCGCTGTGCCCGCTCTGTCCCGGTCTGTCCCCGCTCTGTCCCCGCTCTCCCCTCACCCGAGCCCCCGCCATGTTCCCCCCCGCCCGCAGCGTCGCCTCTTGGGGTGTCTGTAGAGAACAGGAGCCGGACGCAGGGCCAGGAGCCGCACTCATCGATGCTTTGGGGATATTCCGTGACTCCCCCGTACCGAACGGGACCATTCTCTCCGCTGTGCCCGCTCTGTCCCCGCTGTCCCCTCTCTGTCCCCGCTCTCCCCTCAGGCCGAGCCCCCGCCATGTTTCCCCCCCGCCCGCAGCGCCCCCTGGCGGCGCCCCCGCCCTCAGCCCTGCGCCTGCGCGGGAATTGCGCCACATCTCGCGAGACTTCCGCCTCCCGCCGCGCCAAGATGGCGGCGCCCASGGAGGCGCGGGATCGGTTCCGCACCCGGGATGTGCTGGTGCCCGGCGGCCCCGCCARTTTCGGCTCTCTGCTGCTGTCGCCGCCCGTGCTGGCGGGGCTGGAGGCTGCCGGCTTCCATCGGCCGTCGCCGGTGCAGCTGAAGGCTATCCCGCTGGGGCGCTGCGGGCTGGGTGAGCGGGCGGGCCGGGCGGGGGGCCGGGGGTTCCGCTGATCCCTGTGGGGCTCTGGCGGGGTTGGGGACAGCCCGGGGGCTCCGCTGATCCCTGTGGGGCTCTGGCGGGGTTGGGGATATCCCGGGGGTTCCGCTGATCCTTGTGGGGCTCTGGCGGGGTTGGGGACACCCCGGGGGCTCCGCTGATCTCTGTGGGGCTCTGTAGGGCCGGGGACAGCCCGGGGGTTCCGCTGGTCCCTGTGGGGCTCTGGCGGGGTTGGGGATAACCCGGGGTGTCCCCTGATCCCTGTGGGGCTCTGGCGGGGTTGGGGACAGCCCGGGGGTTCCGCTGGTCCCTGTGGGGCTCTGGCGGGGTTGGGGACAGCCCGGGGGTTCCGCTGATCCCTATGGGGCTCTGTAGGGCCGGGGACAGCCCGGGGGTTCCGCTGGTCCCTGTGGGGCTCTGGCGGGGTTGGGGACAGCTCGGGGGTTCCGCTGATCCGTGTGGGGCTCTGGCGGGGTTGGGGATGGTCCGGGGGCTCCGCTGATCTCTGTGGGGCTCAGACGGGCCGGGGACACCTCGGGATCTCCCCTGACTCCTTTGGGCTCTGGCGGGGCCGGGCACACCCGGGGGGCTCCCCTGACCCCCGTGGGGCTCTTTGCAGATCTGATCGTGCAGGCCAAGTCGGGCACCGGCAAGACCTGTGTGTTCGCCACCATCGCTCTGGACGCGGTGCTGCTGGAGAGCCCCGCCACGCAGGTGAGCCACTGTGTGAGAGGGAATCGCTCTTTGCTACGGGAAAAATGGCACTGAAGCCTTTGAGGCTTTTAAAATCATGGCGGGGTTGGCTGTCAGCGCCATCCCGCGGCTGTAATCCTCCAATTTAATCCTCGCCCCGCGCAGATCCTGATCCTGGCTCCCACCAGGGAGATTGCTGTGCAGATCCACGCCGTGATCACAACTATCGGGGTGAAGATGGAAGGTTTGGAATGCCATGTGTTCATCGGAGGRACTCCTCTGAGCCAGGACAAAAGCMGGCTGAAGAAGTGCCACATAGCTGTGGGCTCCCCAGGTAGGGAGGAGCTTTGCTCCTGGGTGAACCCTCACAATAACTGGGGCTTTGGAAAGCTGCCTTGGGTTTGTCTGTTGGCTTTAATAGGGTACAGCCTTAAAGGTACTTTAAAAACATTTAAAAGATCATAACTGGAATGTTTTTGAAGGTGTTTTTACTGCTTGTCTCCCCTGCAGGTCGGATCAAGCAGCTCATTGAGCTGGACTACCTGAGCACAGCCAGTGTCAGGCTGTTTGTGCTGGACGAGGCAGACAAGCTGCTGGAGGAGGGCAGCTTCCAGGAGCAAATCAAGTAAGGAAAAACACTGCCCTCATGCCTGTGTTATTCCATGAGGTATGTTTTTGTAAATAATTGCTGTGGTTTTGTGTCACAGTTGGATTTACTCCTCACTCCCAGCCAATAAGCAGATGTTGGCTGTTTCAGCCACTTACCCCGAGTCCTTGGCTGCTGCTCTCACCAGGTACATGAGGGAGCCCACGTTTGTSAGGCTGAACCCCACGGATCCCAGCCTCCTTGGTAAGTGGATAAATAGCAGTTAGAGTTACATGGGTGGCAATAGATGGAGAGGAGGACACTAAAAACAAAACATGTGCCTTTCAAATGCATGATTTTTCATAATTTCACCCATATCTGGGTYGTTTAGTTTATGAATATTGATTCCCAGTGTTGATGTAGTGAATGTTCAGGTGGAACAAGATGGTCTTGAAAGGCCTTTCCCACCCAAACAATCTCTGATTTTATATTTAAAATACCAGTGACAAATGTCATTCTCTGCTTTTTCTGTGCGTTCAAAACTATTTCAGCCTTTCAAGAAAAACATCTCCTGGAGGTTGTTATCTGAGTCTTTGTTTGAAGTTTTCCTGTAGCTGTAGAACCACATGTTTACAGAACTCTCTGCAYGTTCCTATGGCAACCCCTAATCTCTTGTTTTGGTTTTCTGCTCAGGGCTGAAGCAGTACTACAAAATCGTGAATTCCCATCCTCTCCCACATAAAACATTTGAGGAAAAAACKCAGCACCTGCAGGAGTTGTTCAGCAAGATTCCATTCAATCAAGCCTTAGTCTTCTCMAATTTGCACAGCAGGTAATAAATTTTAAATAATATCTGGGCAAAGCTTGTTTGAAAGCAGTGCTTGTAATGTCCACTCGTGGATAAATTTATGAGAGCTGTGAGGTCTCAGAGWAGTCTGCAAATTTCAGGTCTGAAATACAGCCTGAGGAATGCAGTGTGAATTATTGGAAATACAGAAATGCATCCTTGGCTGTAGAGAATAACCAAAGAGATGCCCAAGGGTTTAGGCCTGGGGTTTTAATTCCAGTTTTCATTGTGTGTGTTCCCTCAGGGCTCAACATCTGGCTGAAATCCTGACATCCCGAGGCTTCCCTGCTGAGTGCATTTCAGGTAAATCCATTCACAAATTCTGATTCCACTGAAATTGTGCATAAATGGGACCTAAAATAGGAGAGTTAATTTTAAATCCTGGCTTGCATGGCCTCTGGTTAAATGGCTGAGAATAGCATTTGAATCTTCAGAGGTCTTTTAAGAATCAATCAACAAGCAAAAGAATTATTTTTGTAATGAGTGACCTCAGTTTTCAGGTTTTGTTTGTTCCTTCTTTACTCATTTGGAACTGATGTTTGAAGATGTTTTTAACTTATTTCTGATGATACAAAGCAACCTTTTCTAGAATGTGAGGGACATGAAGATGAAGAGTGTAACCTGCTTGTAATTTCTATTTTTCTAGGCAACATGAATCAAAATCAGCGACTTGATGCCATGGCTAAATTAAAGCAATTCCACTGCAGAGTTCTGATTTCCACRGACTTGGTGAGCTTTTACTCCTTTCAAACAAGCTTTTTGTGGATTTTATTTTGAATTTATTAACTGCTCTGCAAATTTTACAGCATGCAGGAGTATTGCATATAAAGTTACTTCATAGAATTAGGTTTACCTTGGAATTGAAGAGAATATAAATGTGCTGATAAGGCACTGAAAATAAGTGCCTTATTTTCACTGAAGCTTAGAAATCACCCCCATTCCTCATCTGCCTGCCCATGGCAGGGGGTTGGAATGAGATGACATTTTAAGGGCCCATCCAACCCAGCCCATTCTGGTTGATCTGGTTCAGAAATGCTTTTCAATTTATCTGTTGCTTCACAACTGAGAGTTGCTCTATGGAGAGTGTGTTGTGAGTGCCAAACATGTTGGGGTGACCCCGCTGTGGTCCCTTCCTGCCTCCCCGTGTGTGGTATTTATTTCAAGCTCTGTTGAGTTTTCAGTTCTCAGTGCCCTTTTGCTCACTTTGTGCAGACATCCCGTGGAATTGATGCAGAGAAGGTGAACCTGGTCATCAACCTGGACGTGCCCCTGGACTGGGAGACCTACATGCACCGCATTGGGCGGGCTGGGCGCTTTGGTAGGGACAGCCCTGGCACCCTGCACTGTGCCCTGCTTTGCTCTGCTGCTCATCTGCTCTCTTGTGTCTCCCAGGCACCCTGGGTTTGGCTGTCACCTACTGCTGCCGTGGCGAGGAGGAGAACACCATGATGAAAATTGCTCACCAGTGCAACCTGCAGCTGTTGCCTCTGCCAGGTAGGCTCTGTGCTGGGAGGGGTGTTTTTCTCTTGGGCAGAGCTGCAGGCAGGTCTGGGGGCTGCTTTGCTTTTAGTCTGGGTTGTTTACTCTGCTCCTAACTCCTGAGACTGCTGCAGTGGTGTGGAGCTGTGGGAAATGCATTGGGTGGGGAGAGGACATTGCATCCAGTGCTGCTTAAGCAACCACAGAACTACTTGGATTTCCAGAATCTGGTATGAAGCCTTTCTCAAGCTGTAAGATACACCTGGAACAGCAGATTTGCTTCCCTTGCTTGGCCAGAAGCTGTTCTGCTGAAAGGTAGCATTTGCCTTMTTGTCAGAGTCCTAACTYTATCTTTYCAAGCAGGACATGGAAAAYAGATGACAMATAATGTAGTGGTGTTTGTCTTGATCARCCTTTTGATGCCTTCTATAAGGGAAATGTTCTGGTTGTTTAAACTTTCAAGAATTGAAAGGGTTGGTTTGCTGCCCTCACTTAATGTGCAATTTGGAGAAGCTTCACTTGGGAACTCGTGTGAGTTCAGAGGAAAGAATGCACTGATTGAGGCTCCTTGTTTCCCTTCCCTGCAGAGCCAATCCCTCCTGGAATGATGGAGCAGTTTGAAGATGGGGAGGTTGAAGTTRAACCTGCAATACCCACAGCTCCTGTGATGAATTCTGACCCTGTGAATCTTAAACCAGAGGAACCAGTGCTGCAGCCTGTCCAGAATGGCTTTTCAGACATACCTCAGCCTCACTCTAATCTTCMAARGGATAATTTTTCTGTACAAAAGCCRAAAAAGACTCTGAAGCAAAAGCAGATTAAAAAGTGCACAAATCCTGCAAATCTGGAGAAAAAGAGTAGGACCCCYGAAACTTCCACCTGTCTCACAGGACAGAGGAATCAAGTCAAAGCCAGCTCCAGGGTGGATGGACAGCACAGCACTCAGGCTCCAGATGAGGAGGCCTTAAAAAAAAACCTTCCCAAAATTCCATGCTTGTCTTCTTTCAAAAACCACCTCACCCATCCCTGGAGCTTCTCGGATTTTGTTGAAGACTATGAGTATTTCATTAAAGAAGGGTCAGAGAGACAGGTGGAGATTGTAAGAAGTTATTCAGGCCCAGGAGAACAAGATGAGAAGCCCAGAAATGGGGATGTGGAGTGGGAGGAGATGGAACATCACCCAGAGCCAGCAGCAAACGGGGATGTGTCAGCTGAGAGCGATGGCTCTGACAGTTCCAGGGATTCTCTCGACAGCAGGGCCAAGAACTCGAGCCTTGAGGCATTTTCAGCCCCACAGGACACAAATGCTGTGCCCACAGCATGGCAGRGCWGTGCAGGTTTCTGTCCTGCACCACRGGAGCMTCAGGAGCGAGGCCCAAGGCAAAATGGARTGAAAAAGAAAATCCCGAAACAAAACTCCAAACAAAAGAAAAGCCACAACCAYGGATTCTCCAGTCCTTCCACGAGGCAGACTGAAGAGGAGGGGACCTGCAGCTCCTGGGATGATGCTCTGTGTGAGGGCTGGAGTTCTGAGGACTACTGGAAATGTTACTACGAGGCCTGGCAAAGCTACTACACAGCAGTGTCTCACTACAGCAGGAGTTACTGGCAGTTCAGCTGCATGAATGCMTACCAGGTCAGCTCAGTCTATCTCCAGGAGCTGCTCAAAGGTGGGGATTGAGGTCCTGATGGCAGGGACACGACTGGCCATGCTCTGTGACAACAGTGCTGCTCTAAAGGACCTGACAAGAAGAAAATGGTGTCTTTTTATAAGTAGCTGTGTCTGGGAAATGTTTTACACAGGTCCAGTGATGGTGTTCCAATTTGTTAATAAAAGGAACAGAAAGAYAGCTGGATGCTCAGTTGGAATCTTTACAATCCAAAGTGATGAAGGATGACATAAGAAATGTCAGAAAGGAGAAAATACAAAGCAATCCCAGTTGTATTTGATGGAATCCCAGAATGGTTTGGGTKGGAAGGGACCTTAAAGCTCATYCCATTCCACCCCTGCATGRCAGGGACACCTCCCACTGTSCCAGGGTGCCCCAATGTCCAGCCTGGCCAGGGCCTCACCTCCCCCTTGATTGCCTTCCCCGGGAATTTTGGATAATTCCCTATAARACTCCATGATCTGTTCAAAGTTGGTGATCATCCCATTTTCCCTGATTGTCTTGGTGAGCCCCAGGCACTGATCATAGAGGGAAATGAGCATCCCAATGCCTGTATTGCTAATTTCAATCCATTTAATTAACTCTGTCTAAATAACATTTCTATAGCAAGGTGTGCAGCAAGCTGTGTGGTAGAGGATTTAATTATGGAGATRTGCAGCAATCATAATTGGTCTGTCCCTCTGGGTGCAACAATATCAGACTTCCCACACTTACAGGAAAGCTCTAATTAGAAATGGAATTACTTATTAGTGTTAAAATTAATTGATATTTCCTGTTTGGCTTGTAGAGAGCTGTCCTGGGGCACGAGGGGATGAGCTGGCTCCGGGTGCTGACCCTGGCTTGGCTCTCACTCATTTTGAAAGCTTTTCTTTCTGTGCTCTATTCTTGCCTTACACCTTTTGTGTCATAAATGACTCCAGGGAAGAGTTCCCCTYTGCATTAATTGGAAAAGGCCAAGACAGCATGATTTCATTTCCAAGATGAGTTTTTGCAACTCTTAAATGTTCAAAAAGAGATAAAAGATGAACTCAGTATCTGCATTATTGCTCTTCTRTGACATCTCACTGATTTCATTAATGGTTGCTTAGGGAAGAGTTAATTGGTATTTAAATGCAACTCGAGTGGCTTAGGTCAACACCCAAAAGAACCTCCCAGGAGTTTTTTTAGAAGAAATTACAGCATCCTGTTGGTATTTGTGGCACATACTCTGTTTAATCCGGATTGGATACATCAGGTACAGCAGTGGCACAAGACTCAATACTGTAAATGATATACAAGTTTCAACATATGCACTACAATTCCAAAAGAAGACAACAGGAAACTTGGTTCTTCTAGAAAGTTGTTCTCAAATGAAGCTACCTGCAGTTGTGTCCAGTACATTTYGTATCTGTCCTCTGATGTTTGTAAAGCAAAGCCCATTTAAAGTACGAAAATAGAAAATAATAAGGTTGAGAGCTTCTGATAACATAGAACTCCTAAAGAAAAACACCATTGCATTGGAATGCCATACTGGTTTATCAAAAATAGACCATCACACCGTTTTTAGAGACTTGGTTGGTCCGAGGAGCCCCTGGGAGCTCCCAGTYGGGGTTGAACAATGGGGAAGAGCTTTGGGGTGTGGTTGGGACCTTCCCCCAGCTGAGACTGGAATAGCACTGGTTTAACCCAAAGTGGGAGGGGACACTGCACACAGATACACACAAAGGGACAGACCTGACTGAGAACAGGAGGAGRGATTTTCACCAGCTCTGTCACCTGCTCTTTTGTTCCACCTGAAGCGTTTCTGGCACAGGTTTCACTCCCTGAACAGAAGCWGCAGTTCTGGCACTCCAGAATTCCCTGTGGGATTTTGGGGGGTCATGAATTGAGCTCCATTTAGTGCAAGAGGAAATGCCAATTGCTCTGTACAATTGGCACAGAGGTGAAATTACTTTTTGGAGGTCACTTAGTGGTAGGTCAGGAAATCAGGACTGCTTTGCCTTTGCTCTTGCAGTTTTAGAAAGAACAAATCACCATGGGCAGTGTTTTTGGCAAATACAAAGCCTAAAAACTTGGGCTTTAAACCCATGGGTCTACTGCAGTTGGCTCCAAGTGTTGGAGAAAAATAAGTGTTTGAAACCAAAAAATTAATTGAGCTAGAGTGGATGGGTGAATCGTGTGGAAAAGGTGTTTTAATTCCCTAACTTTAAAAGCAGAATTAAGTTTGCAGTTCAAAGCCACTGATATTCCCCAGCCCTGCACGAGTGCTGACTTTGTAACTCTGCCTTAGTCCAACAGATAAAAACACTACAAAGTCCAAGGGATGTTGTAATGCATAAATTAAATGTGATTTTTTTTCATTTCCTGAATTTTCTTAACAATACATGTAAGATGCAACATATTGGCAACCTCTTTACTTAAAAAAGCAAAACCTTGAAGGAAATTTGCTTTCTTTAGCTGGTTTTAATCTGATTTTCAGGCACACACCTAAAACTGTCTAGATTAGAATGACAAGAGCTAGATTGCAGTACAGGTTGAGGTTAAACAAGTGGCATTGATTAAATTTAATCTTTGTGGCAAATTACAGAAAGATCTATTTGGAATTATCCATTAAATTTATTCCACACTAAAGCCATTTGTGTTTCTTAGGTTGTCCTTTCCCCTGTTTGCCTTTAACTAAAGTAATTATTTAATARATAAAAGTAGTCCCTGGGATAAGAATTCAGAGTAGAAAGTTTTATATTTCTCACGTGGAAAGGAGAGTAAATGGTGCAAGAAACTAAATTCCAAAAGGGGGGGAAAAATAAGGAAAAAATTACGGYTGATTGGGTGGGGGGAAATCCTTGACTTTGAGGGCTCTGACTCTGGAATGAGCTCTCCAGWGAGCAAATTCTCTCAATTCCTGCGAGAATTTGAAGTCTAATCTAGAAAAGTAACCCCATATCACAGTGAAAGATCTTGTGGATGGATTAAATGGTTAAATTCTTTAATGTTTGTGTACCAAAATGTATTATCTGTGGGTTCTTTAGAGGTGTCCTTAAGATTTTTAAGGAAAATGAAAGCAAAAGGTGGATTTTGGAAAGAAGGAGATGGAAGTCAAAGCCTATGTGTGAAAGGTATTTTTCATTATTTGCTGCCAGCTGGGTGTGAATCCTGTTAGCAGCTCAATGCCAGCTGAGAAGAGAGGAAATCTATTGATAGAATAGGCTGAAAATCTGGGAAAATACCTTTCCCTCAGAAAAAAAGCTGTGGAAAGGAAACAAAACKCTCAGAAAAAGGAGTTTCTCCTTTGATATTTATAATATTGCTTTAGGAAAGTCTGAAAAAATAATGCCCTTCCACTTGCTTTTTGTACAAAAAATCCATTTTTATCTCTTTTTTTAAAGGAACTTTTCTAAAGCTATAAAAGGCGTGAAGGAATGAGAAGAGGGGAAGGTTTTGAAGTGCTCTTGTGCCAGGCTCACCAGGMTGTGGGGCAGAGGGAACCCTGGGCACGGGGTCCTGCTAAGGCTGGGCATTGCTGGGGGAATGATCCACATCCTTCAGGTGCAGCTCTGCTTTGGGGAATCTTGGCTTTCTCTGAAAATTCTGAGTTTTGGGGAAGCTGTTCTTAGGTCAGGAATGTGGGGTGCAGTGCACTCCCTGCTCTGCCCTGTGTCCCTTTGCCCCATTTGCGCCCCAGAGATGTTCCCTGGCAGCCCCTCCAGGGATGGATCCCTGTCCCTGTGATGCCTGATGATTTTTGCTTTTCCTTTTTGCGCTTTCTGTACCCTCTATGCATTCACCTGTACCCCTTAGTCCACATGTTTATAATTCCTGGAGCCTGATATTCCAGTTTAGTTTAAGAGTTCTGCTGGGCACAGACCAAACATCCTCAGGAAGGGCTCAGTGTGCCCTGTGCTATCTTAAACCCGAGCTCAGCCTTGGGTGAAGCCTCTGTCCAGAACATCTTGTGTAAACTGAGCTCTGGCCTCATCCAGGATTCATTAGAATAGGGGGACATCACTGCATTTGGGAAGTTTCTTATTGGGGAATCCTGGATAGAAATGCTAATTCCTGAAACCTATAAAACTTGTATCTTATTGGGGAATCCTGGAGAGATTTGCTAATTCCTGAAACCTATAAAACTTGTATCTTATTGGGGAATCCCGGATAGATTTGCTAATTCCTGAAACCTATAAAACTTGTATCCGTGCTGTACATGTGAGTGCATTCTGCCATCAAGTTGTGCACCTGAGATCCCAAATCCCAAGGTAAAACCCTTTTTATTCCCTTAACCATGTCTGTGTCATTATTAAAAACTGCCCTTTCAAGGCAACACCTGCAGCTCTGCTGGGGTGGGCACTCAGCTCCTCACAGTGCAGTTCCAGGCGCTTTCTGAAACATTCAGGTGATTTCTGAGGATAAAGGAAGCCAATGCCTCCAGTTAAAATATTTTTATCCCAGTTTCTCTGAGCTCAGAGTCGGTTCATTTTGTGTTTTCCTGTGCTGAGGATCTGACAGTGTGGGGCAGCACCTGCCCAGGGCTGTGCATTCCCCAGCAAGGACAATTCCTGTTGTGCAAGAGAACAGAGCCCAAGCAGCCAGCCAGAACCTCCTGGAACTGGCTTTCCTCCTTTTAAAAAATCTTTTAAAATTCAATGTTGTATTCTCTTTTCCAAAAAGCAGCTTGATTGACAATTAAAAGCCCCAATAATGCTTTGGCCAAGGGCTGCCACGAGGGCTATTTACAGACAGAGGTGTGAAGGGCCCTGTTCACCACTCCACACTAAATCAGGAATAAGGAAGGCAGCACCAAGAATCCATGTGGAATCCCTGATTCTTTGTGATTTTTATTCCTGCCCCTGTCAGCATGGGGGTGTTTCACCCTCACTCTGTGCCAGTGGAGATGAGGTTGCAAAGGTGGCAAGTGGTGGAGAGCAAGSCCTCTGATCTACAAGGGCAGGGGTGCTCAGATGGTGACAGTGAATGAAATTAAAGCAAAAATCAAATTAAAACATCGAGAAAAAAACCTCAATAATGGTCAGATTAACTGCAGTATAACCTCCTACAGGAAGCAGCAAAAGGCAGAGCATTTCAGTCTTTTAAAACAGGACTAAACAATTTTGGGTAAGATATTACAGCACTGGAATAAATGACGAGAAGCTGGTGCAGCTACTGGAGGCTCAGGCACAGCCCTACTATTCCCAGGATKTTCTGGGATTCTAAGGAGGGATTGAGTTAATGCATCAGCCACACTCACTCACAGCAGGAGTGCTACCAAAGCAGGGCCAGCTCGGGGTCATCAGCATTAATTACCTAATGTATGATCTGTAATTAATTACATGTGTATGTATATGTGCATATCAACAGTACATCAGGAGGGGGCACGACAGGTGCTAAAGAAAATCATCCCTTTGCTGAATCAGCCTCAAACACACTTTGAGCCATTGTTGGTGAATTCAGAACAGGACATGGGATGGTGTTCAAATTC